CCACCACCAACGGCGTCAAGCTGCGCACAGCCTATAGCTGGGTCGCTGCGGCACATGCAGCAGAAGATTGGGAGAACCGCAACACCAAGATCCAAGATGTCCACATCGACTATCTCCTGGGTCTCTTAGATGATAATTGTTACCTTACGCTAGTCGAAATGGTCGATGCGCTCGAGGCGCGTTTCGGTGTTCGAGTGACTCATCAGACTGTGAAGCGCCACGTGGATGCGCGTAACCGATACAGTGCAACCAGTAGCTGACACCATGCTGGTGTCTGTGGAACATTAGAGTTGTTGAAGAATACGGGGTGACCTTGAATCAACTCTACGATCTGTGCAAACTGAAATCTTGTGACGCGAAAGTCTTGGACGAAGCGTCCTTCATCGAGTTTCTGCAGCCAGAAGTCCAGGGCATCTGGGGCACGAGGTACTGGCTCCCTCTTGTTTAGATAGCGCGATCTACTTATGAACCAATACGCCTCAATAAACTCCATCATCATGTCGTCATTGAGATCTGGCATCTCCAGCGAAGGCATTTCATCGTCATCAAAAACATCGAAGAAGAAAGAGATATTCTCGCTGAGTGCAGCAGCTCGAATACCCTCTCTTAGACCGCGCAAGGCGCGCTTCCTTTGGGATACAATAGGCATCGTTGATGCTGCAGTGTTGAATCTCAGAGGTGGGGTGCTAGCAGGGCGTTCAAGGCGCTTGTACCATCTGCTGTCCAGCTTGATCTCCACCTCGCTTGGGACTCACAGTATCTCCACAGTGAGTCGCAGGCCCTGTAAGCAGGAGACAAACATATTTATGCGTTAGTTGCCGTTCTCTCGCTTCTTGGTGCGGATTTATGGTTGTAGATGCTCCCTACATCCTCACCGTTGCTTGCCTTAGCCCCCCGGACACTAGCTGCTGTTGCCGAGACGTGATCCGTGCCCGTCGAGCTGTCAGGACTCCCCACTGAAGTCGTCTCTGTTTTGTTTTGCTCTTCTTGATGCCGTGGAGTTGTCTTGACACAAATCTTGCTGACAGGTGGGGTTTCAAAGTACTGAAAACAGGAGCCAATCACAGAGAGACATCTGTTCTTGTCGTTAAGTCATTTTGTCTGGACAAAAGTTACTTTGAAACCCCTTATTGTTGACTCGTCTTGATATCCTATGAGAATGTCGTCTACATATATCGACACAATTAAATCGTTAAATGTGTGTGTGTAGACACAAGCATCTTCACGAGTAGGAATCAGTCCATAGTCCACCAAGAAAGTGTTGAGTTCCGTATTCCACTCGCAACCAGCCTGCTTAAGGCCATAAAGCGCTTTCTTGAGTCACCAAACTTTGGTTCGACTCTCCTCCTCAAAACCGCAGGGCTGTCGTACATAAAGTACTTCATTTAGTCTCGCCTTGACGTACGCTGTGGAAACATCACTCTGACGCACGCGCGTGCCCATTTGGGTTGCCATTGCAAGGGAAATGCGGATAGAGGCTAATTTCGCCACTGGAGTGAAGTAATCCTTTAGAAACCCCTGCGTAAACCCTTGAGCACACACACGAGCCTTTATACGCTCTAGTTCCCCAAGCGAGTTTTGTTTTACTCGAAACACGATAGTAGTTGACCCAATAATGGGAGCTCCGGCTGGAAGCTCGACTAGATCGAACGTGTCATTTGCTCGTAACGCCGCAATATCATCCCTAATGGCCTTCTCCCAAAGTAGCTATTCCTTCGATGCTTTAGCCTCGTTCAAGTTGATAGGTTCATGGATGATTTCACGGAGAGTGACGTTAGCAGCGCTGAGCGCTCGGCTTTAACTTCGGCTGGAAATTCGCTCAGATCGCCGGTTCTGCGTTAGATTTGAGGTTCCATTGAACTCAATTACCTGGACTGGGGTGAGAGGGGTGCCGACTACGGTTTGCTGTCGATGTTGATTCTCTTCTTCCCCTTGATTTTCTCGTCCAGGTCGTCTTATTCTTCCCCGATAATTCGGAATGGGCCATCTTGAGGTGACTTTATCAACGTGGGGGAGTAAAGACTTGGTGGTTCTAAGAATACGACGTTCCGACTGTGCACGACTTTGTGTCCTCGCCCAGTTACGTAAATGAAGTAACCCTTGCGTTGCGGATCACTGCCGATAAATATTCCAGTTCTACCTTTCGGGCAAAATTTGTGAGCTGTAGATCTCTGATCCGGTGATAAAAGTACTACGCTTCTTTGTCCAATGTCTTGATCATCTTCAAATCGGGCTTTCGACCACAAAACTTCTCGAATGGAGTTTTCTCTTTGTCCGACCTTGAAAGTACTCTGTTTCGCGAGTATATGGCACTCCGCACTGCGTATTCCCAAAGATGATGTGGGAGTTTCGCTTGCAGCATTAATGCTCGAGCCGCGTCAGCTATCGTTCGATGCGTACGCTCGATTACTCCATTTTGATGGTGTACGTCTGGCTCCGACATTTCCACAGCGATCCCTTCATCACTACATACCTTGCTGAAATCGCCACCAACAAATTCACCTCCGTTGTCGGATCGATAAATTTTTATGCTGTTCATCCTGTCAAAACGGCGATTCACGAGGTTCATGTACTCCCTGAAATATCGAGCAGCATCGCTTTTTCTCCTTAATGAAGTAGACTGTGGTGTGTCCTTTGCATTTCAACGCGAAATAGTAGCGATTCCTGTGGTAGCTGCGTTGGTAAAGGCCTGCTAAATCACCGTGGCAGATCTCGTCTTGAGCTGAGCGAGATCGAGACACCTTGCGTGGAGCAGGTGCTCGGGTGATCTTGCTTAGAGCGCAAGTCTTGCTCGTCTATCCATGCCAGAGACACGCGTCTCCATCACGATTGGAGGTCAGCGTGCGATAGTTGGTGGTTCTCATCATTCAAAAAGTTGCACGAGAGGAAGAGATGGCGGGAAGACGCGAGGCTCGACGCGAGTCTGGCGTTCAAGGAGCGCCTGGAAGGGAGAAGCGAGGAGGAGCGGCGCCGTCTGCTCGCGGAGCACCGCGCATATCTGGCCGGTGAACGTAATTCTGATGCCGACTTCGGACAAGAGCCCTCAGGGCAGCAAGCCACGACCTGTGCGACTCCATGACGGGTTCCACGAGATGCAGGAGGGCTCTGTCGCCCCCCCCCCCCCATATGGGCAAACAAGCTGCATACCTTGCATTGTTGGAGCGAGAGAGGGTAGGTGCTGAGGAAGACGCGCATGCTGCTGGAAAGCCGGTGCCGAAGGCGGCGCAGAAAAGGCTGGACAAGGAGTTGAAGGACGCTCAGGAGATAAGGGCGAAGGCACGTGCAGCTGCTGCTGCGACGAAGAAGAAAATGGCGCAAATGAAGGAACGCCGTCGCCTAGAAATGGAGGAGAAGCGTGGGGCTACCGCTCGAGTAGCTTCTCAGGAGCGCGTGGGTAAAGCACCACCCAAGGCAAAGGAGGCCAAGGCACCGGCGACCCTGGAAGCAACAGGAAAGAAGAAACGACGAACCTGCCCACATGTAGCAGAAGAAGAGGATGCTGATAGCGAGTCAATCTCGTTTTCTGGGTGCGTAAAATGCTGCTTGGTCATTTGGAGCGTCCAGCTAACTAAAATTTGCGTGTTTAGTGATTCACCATCAGTTCGAAGGCGTGTTAAGCCTAGTGCAGATCCTATATCTGCGTTGGAGACCTCAAGTCGTCCAGCAGCCCGGTGAGTGAAGTGATGTTGTAATTGACAACATGATTTTTTTTTACATGTATATGATGTTATCCCAGCGCTTTGGATTTGGATATACCAGACGATATCTCGATTGGTGGGGAGGCCCAGGAGGAAGAAGCTGCGCCAGCTGCTGCAGACACCGGGATGACCTCGAAGATTGAAGGCGACAGTTCTGACTCTGAGAGTTGGTATGTTGAATCCCGGGATGACGAGCTCTGCGAGGAACTTGAGGAAGAGGCCGAGGACAAAGCGGAAGACGGCGAGAGTAGCGATGAAGGTCTTGATGGTGCCGAACTCATTGCGCGAGGAAAGAAGAAAACCTACCAGAAGTTAGCCTCTCAGCGACTGAAAGCTGCTACCGAGAAGTTGCCTCGCGACTGGGACGATACGTTGAGCGAATGGCCAAAACTCACGAAAGCAGAAATGGCGGTGCTTGCACAGGACAGCAAGGCCCTTCAGATATTGCGTGGCGGTGGATGGGAACTTGGTAAGTGCTACATGGTGTACATGTTGTTATATACATCATGTTCTAATTGTGAACTTGCTGTATATGATTGCATAGATCCAGAATGTTTTCCAGTTGGTGGAGGCTATACCAACCTGTCCTCTGGTGAGCAGGGACCTACTGACGAAGTGCTCGCTAAAGCGGATTCACCTCTGGATTTATTCTTTTTTTCATGCCGAGGAGCTTGTGGAGTCGGATTGCTTACGAGAGCAACCGGTACTATGACCAACATTTGAACGAGCGGGTGGATAAGATGTTCCAGAAGCAGAGTGACGCTGGTAAGGGCAAGTCGCGTGAAGAGGTCCTGGATGCAGAAACGAAGAAGCACAAACAAATCAAAGGGTACGAGATTGTCCGCTGCATCGGGTTGTTGGTTGCGCGTATGTTCTGCCCACACTCCCGTCGGCTAGCCGATCATTGGGCTACTGCTACAACAGGAGCTATACCTGGTGGTACGTTTGGTCGCTACATGTCGAAGGCTCGATTCGGCAGAATCATGCAGAACCTACATTTCTCCAACAACACGGACCCACGCGCAGGAACGGATAGGGCCGGGAAGATTTGCCCAGTGCAGGAAAAGATGCAGGAGACGTTCCGCGCGGGATATCACTTGCCAGCGGTGTTCTCGTTCGACGAGGCTGTGATTCCGTCACGGAGCCGCCACAATGTGACGCGTCAATACCTGAAGGACAAACCTCACACATGGGGGACGAAGATGTTCATGGCGTGCTGTGCTGAGACTTCGTACTGCATTCGGTACGATTGGTGTGCTTGCGTGTTGTGCTTTGTGTGCCTTGTATGTCAAGAAGAAGTTCCGCGGGCCCACAATGGGGTTCGCGGTATTTTTTTTTTTTTAGCTAAGTTTGACATGTTGTATATTGCTTCGAGTACGCTAACTACATGTTGTATATATTGTCGTGTAGACTTGAAGTATTATGCGGAAAAGACCACCATTCCAGTGAGCTCGGGGGAGAAGACCCTCAAAAGTTTTCAGCAGACCCCAATTCCGGTCCGGCAGCAGTAGTGCGGAACCTCCATGAGGTGCTGCCCCCGCCCGTGGACGGTGTCTTTCACGCCGTAGTGACAGATAGGTTCTACACGTCAGTACAGCTTGCGCTGCAACTGCTGGGCCGAAGTGTGTACAGCATTGGTACCATTCAGCCTAACAGAGTTGGGTATCTGACGGAGGTGACGGCAAAGTCGAAAAGTCGCCCGCATGGAGTTGCACGAGGCACTACCAAGATGGCTGTTGCAAAAGCGGTCCCAGAGATGACTGCGCTACTCTGGTGGGATTCGAGCCGGTGAATTTGCTTGCAACTGGTGGGAGTAGAGCAATGGAGACTTGCGGTAAGGTTCCATCTGCAGCTTTTTGATTTTCAGGTTCTAACATCTTGTTTTTTGTATGTGGTTTGATATATATATATATATATATACAGAGCGGCGCATACCCGGTGGGAAGAAAATGGTCGTGCCTTGCCCATCCATGATGCGCGACTATCAGCGCTGGATGGGCGGGGTCGACATTCACGACCAACTGCGCCTCCAGCGCTATTCTGTACAGCTCTGGGTAGTGTTTCGCAAGTACTACAAGACGATCTTTCTTGGCCTGGTTGATATGGCCATTGTGAATGCATTTATCATCTTTAGAGAGGCGTGGAAGATGAACATCGGCGTGGGATCAGCTGATCACGCTAAGTTCATGCGCATGCTGCAGGCACAGATGCTGGAGCTGAAAGATAGCGACTTTGCTGACGTGGTACGTGGGTTAGTTCACTTGCTTGTCATGTAATAAACTAATTGACCTGTTCTTACTTGTAGGCAATGTCACCAGCACCGCCAGGGAAGGAGCAAAATAGTTGAGATGGCGACTATTTCTATCTACAAACGATCCATATCTTTAAAATTTCTTATCCACTCGGCCAGCTGGCCTATTCCGCCTCTTGGTTTCCGGCTGATTTGGTCGGTGAACAACATAGCGAAAATGACAACCTGAACCTTGTCGCGGTCTTCCTCCTTAGTGTCGGGGTCGTGTATCTAGCTGGCCGACGTAGGAACGAGAACTAGAGCGATAATTCCAATTGTAACTTGATATATTCTGAGTACTTCTCTCTTAAGAAGGAAAAACACGACTGAGCCTCTTCCTTACGGTCCTTTACGACCTAGGAGCTCCTTACCTGCCCACAAATCTTTCCCACGCAGCGGTCCACCGTGAGGTACCTCCTCATTCCCTTCATCCCAGTCACACTCTAGACGTGGAACGCCGATGTCTGCTCCTCTTGTCCTTGGTTGTAGGATGTAGCCCGTTGACCCTGTAGTGAGCAGACCTACTGGATGCAGTCCACAAGGAAGGTGAATCCACCATCTAGCTGTAGACCGTGACAACCTAGTGTCAGTAAAGAATTTATCTTTGTATTAAAAAAACGTTGTGTATTTTATACCCAATCAAATTGAATTATGAGATTTTCCAGTTGAAAGTTACCACAATCTGATTGTTTTACTATCCTTTATTTTAGCTCTTTTTTTTTTGCTTACGCGTAGATACCTGATGATGCCGCGTGACTTCCTTTGATTAAAAGTTATGCAAGACTTCTTTGGGTCTGTGGCCCGTTGTTGGGATGACGCTTCAAATAAAATTGGGATTTGTTGCTGAATGTAAAAATAAAGTTCTTTCGGTGCATGGAGTGTGGCTACTTGGAGCAATTTTTTTTTTCTATTTAGTTGTTTTCACCATAGTATTCCAACCGAATTGTTGTCCTTTGATTTTCTAATTCTGGTTCTCCATCCTCACTTGTGGTAAAATGTTTGAGTTAGCCTTCGTAAAGTGAAAACGTGAAAGACGATCTAATAAATACTTCCTCCACACGAAAATGATTGGTCTATTTGCACAAAACTTTCGAAAACACCTGCTAAAGTTAACAACAAAGCACGTTGATTGGCTTACTCGAATGTACGCGATTAGCCCTTTCTAGCGAAGTTTGTTTTGCTTTCGTTGGTCCAGAATTGACGGAGCTATCATCGTTGGCGCGGCCCATTCGGACGCCTTCACTTTTCAATCTCCCGCTGAGCCTTGACTTCGCGCGCTACACAACCTAGACTCTTTCCATGGGCAATCTGACCGATATCCAAAGGCGTGCAATCGTTAACGATCTTCTTTTTAGTTATAGAGACGGCAAACCGCCCCATAGCACATTTGCCAAGCTTGCTGAGGTTTATGGCTGTCACTGACATAGTATCAAGCGCATCTGGGACCGCTACCAGAAGAACGTAGCACAGGGAATCGCCGATGGGGCCCCCGAAAGCAGAATCAAAGGAAACTCAGGGCGGAAGCCATACGATCGCTCCAAACTGGCGACGAAGCTCAAGAAGGTACCCGTCTTTCAGCGTCGTCGTGTGGCAGCTACAGCGGCTCGTATTGGGGTCTCCACGTCCCTGATACGGTCTCTGGTTGACGAGGGGTACCTGACGCGGCGTTCAAGTAGCATTAAGCCTCACCTAAGCGACAACAACAAGATTCAGCGCATGCAGCACACTCTCACCTTCATCAACGATCAGACGTACCAGTTTGAAAACATGTACGGTATGATACACATAGATGAAAAATGGATTAACGAGGACATCGACGAGCGCACCTTTCTGGTTCTCCCCGACCAAGAACTGCCAGAACGCCACCGCCAAAGCTAGCGCTTTATACCGAAGACCATGTTTCTGGCAGCGGTGGCCAGGCCAATGTAAACCTTCGAGATATGATAAACTGCTATTCGGATTGATATGATACTAAACGGGTTCTGAACAGATTTGACTACCATCGCAAAGCCATGGAGGCGATCCCTTCGTGGAAATTGATACTTCTGATAAATAATATATTGACGAGTCAAATGACCCAATCATTATCTCCACCTACAAAAATTAAATAGACCAATCATTTTCGTGTGAAGGAAGTATTTGAAATATCTTTTTCACGACTTTAATTTTCTGAAAATCGATTCAGAACCGTGCAATTTCATCGTGTGGACACACCAAGTGCAACAACACATGGTGTGGTAACATCACGTACAACATTAACTTTTGAATGGTGGAGGAAGAAGGGAGCCCAAAAACTCGTTGTCTCCACAACGCCATTCCAGTTTTAGCCTCCTAGGGCATACTAGTGTATTTGTTCATGTAGTGTTTGCATATCATCGGGCGGTCCATGTGAAGATTTTCAAACAACACCATCTTTCGACCGAGGGCTCCAACCCTGTGGCGACAATTCCTCTCACCAGATCTGATGGACCCCACCTCAAAAAACCCATATTCAGAGTATCCAGCATGTAGAATACTCCATTTGGTGTAACTCATGTGTGGCGCATTATACTTAGTCACCCGCCAGATGCCGCCGCCCAGAAACACCCCACCCGTCGTCCTTTACATGGCAGTGTGGACATCACATGACAGGGTTGAGCCTCCTACATGTAATAGCCCTGCCTCCACTTCTCCCTCTGCGCGTCAATGGCCGAGAGACGCTTATCAACGCGCGATTCCTCCCGCCAGAGTGGTCGGGAGACCGAGAGTGCATTTGCCGCCTTCTTGTCGGACGGCAGTGACGACGAGGACGCGGATGACGCGGACACGCGCGCTCTGCTTCGGATGCAG